ACTAACCTAGGGATAGCACAAAGTATAATTTTTCATATTGACTGACACGGAGTAAATTCCTCATTGCAATGCTACTGCAAAGGTCTGTATGATCATAAGCAGCAGGCCTAGACCCATGTGATTGCATAGCCAAAGCCCTACATGGCACAGTGTTATTTTCAACAGATTCTACCTCCCAAATTCTCAGTGTGTACAACTGTCCATCAGATCCCTGCTGGATCTCTCCCTGCCATTCTTCAGTAGCCCCTAGGCACCCTCAGAAGGAGTCTGGGAGCAGCAGCAATAAACAGCATTTCAGATTAAATTCAAAACCTGAGATCTTAACCCTTTCTAATTATTGCAGATATCCAGCCTTTTTTCCTAAAAAGCCATGTCATGAGTCCTTTTTTTGCCCAACTATAGACATTTTGCTGGTCTATATTCCCCTACCATTCTAGTATTTATCTTTACTTCCTGTCCTAAACTGTTGTGATGCATGGCTATGCACTGATAAGCAGCTGCTGTGTTCCATTCCAGAGGTGGTTATCAATAATTGATGTAGTGATTCCTGTTTATTGTACTTGTAAGTTTATAAAGTTTTTCAGATTTCTTCAGGATGAAAAGCTCTATTTGCAAAAATAATACGTTTTTTATTAATTCATAGTCTGTTGTCTTCTTTGCTTCACCTTAGAACAAATAAGTAGCTAGCTGAAGCAGTCTCTGAACCATAAGATAATATCTTTAAGAATTCAAGGAGCATGGATGAGGTACCACAGAGCAAGAGAAGGGCAATTATAGTACCTAACTTAAAAAAAGAGAAAAAGGAGGACTTGGAAAATCATCGATCAGTTGGCCTAACACGTATACCTTGAGAAACACAAAAATAAATTATAAGCACTTAGAAGGTAACAACATGATAAAAATCAGCCCACATCTAGTTGTCAAGATCAAATCATGTCACACCAATTTAATTTCCTTCTTTGAGAGGATAACTGGCCTGTTAGATAAGAAGGAAGAAAAAGATATGATATCATAAGACTGTTTCGCATGACATTCTTATAAACAAACTACAAAAATTGATTAAATCAGCATATGGTTGTGAAAAACTGGTTGAAAACGCAGCACTTTAAGAGTATGTATCAATGATTTGCTGTCAAAGTCAAAGGTAGTTCAGGTGAGACCCTGCAGGGGTCTGTTTTGGAACTGATTCTTCTCAATGTGTTCAATAAAAAATATTGACTATATAATAGTGAAGACATTTATAAAAGTTGCAGTAGACATTAAGCTGGGAAGGGTAGCAAGTACAATGGAGGATGGGATCAGAATTCAAAATGCTCTTGATTAACTGGAGTAATGGTCCAACAATTTCATTAAAGACAAGTGCAAAGGAGTTATGTAAGAAGGAAAAACCATGTGCAGAAATACAAAGTGGGAAAAACTTAGTTAGGCAGCAGTACAGAAAAGGATCTAGGATTTATTGTGCTCCCAAACTTAATATGGATCAATTCTATGATGTTGTTGCAAAATAAGTAAACCCAATTCTGTGAGGTATTGACAGGCATGTCATCAGTAGATATGAGATTCAAGAAATTTTAGTTATAACTTTTATTGGACCAACGGTATAGTTGGGAGAGCTGCTGGACAAGCTGGAACCTGCACTGCTTATTCAATAAAAATAATTTCTAACAACTAGCTGTATCCTCACTCCTAGTTGACCACTGCCTCTCATTATGACCCTCCCCTTCTTCCCCCAGCCCTAGGCAAAAGCAGGGGTCCAAGCACTTTCAAGTCCCTGCCCTCTCCATCCCTGCCTTCCCAAGTCAGGAAAGCACACTGCAGATTTTAGTCAACTGCAGACCACTGAAGTGTATTGAACTCATATTGAAGAGGGAAGGGAAAGAGAAAAATAAAAATGCCCCAAGCCACAGGTCATCCATCCCCTGAGACCTCCAAAACATAGAGGATCATAGAACCATAAAGAAATAGAGCTGGAAGAGATTGTCAGAGGTCATCTAGTCCAACCCCCTGCTTGAGGCAAGATCATCCCTATCCAAACCATTCTATACAATCCATAATCAAAACTCTGCACAGGACAACCATCAACCCTAGCACACACAGACCTAGCACCCTAACCTGCCACAGGTAAAGCAAGGCAACCATGGCAGTAGCCAGTGTCCTGTTTCTGTGAAATGTCAATATATGCTCAATAAAGGGCCATCTCCCACACTACAGAGGAAAGCAAAAATTCCCACAGTCTGTACTAGTCTGACCATAGGGTAAAATTTCTTCCTGACCTCAAGTATGGTCATCAGTCAGACCCTGAGCAGAGGGGCAAGACCCTCTAGTTAGGAACCTCCAGCTTTGGTCCCAGCAGGAGCGTCGGCACACAGCAGTCAAAGTCCCCAGCCTTGGCTGTAGCCAACACCCAATGCTTCTGGGAAGGATTAAAAACACCCTGCCATATGTAGCAGAAAAGGGCAGGGGGAAGTAACAAGCAAAGCCCAGAAACATGGGAAATACGCATAGTAGGACATAGGCACAAATACGCCTAAACCATCCCTGGCCAGTGGCTGTCTAACCTCTTCTTGAACACCTCTAGTGATGGAGAGGCCGGAACTTCCTAGGGGAAGAATGCCTCACTGTTCTAACAGGGATAAAGTTTTTTCTGGATATCCAATCTAAATTTACTATGCTGCAACTTTAAGCCATTAATCAAAGTCCTCTCTACAGAAAAAGAGAAAGGTTGCTTTCCTTCTTCTTTATGACAGCCCTTCAAATAACTGAAGACTGTTATCATGTCCCCTCTTAAGTGCCTTTTCCACAAGCTTGATCCTGCCTATCTCCTTCAGCCTATCCTCATATGACCTGCTTTCTAAGCCCTTGATCATCTTTGTTACCTGCCTCTGGACCCTCTAACTTCTCCCCATCCTTTTTAAAATGTGGAGTCCAGAACTGCACCCAGTACTCCAGATGAGGCCTAACCAATGCCTAACCAGTACTATCCTTCCTGTGTCTTACACCTAATGCTTCTATTGATGCATCCCAAAACTGCATTCATCTTTTGTGTGGCTGCATCACACTGCAGACTCACATTGAGTCTGTGATCTACCAAGACTCCCAAGTCCTTTTCCATAGTTCTGCCATCAGGCCAGGTGTCACCAACCTGATTGCCTTCTATGATAAGATGACTGGCACTATGGGTGTGGGGAAAGCAGTGGATATGATATACTTAGACTTTAACAAGACTTTTGATACAGTCTCCCACAGCATTCTTGCAAGCAAGCTGAGGAAGTATGGGTTGGATGAATGGACTGTAAGATGGATAGCAAGCTGGCTGGATCATCAAGCTCAATGGGTAGTGATAAATGGCTTGATGTCTAGTTGGCAGCCAGTATCAAGGGGAGTGTTCCAAGGGTTGGTCCTCAGGCCAGCTTTGTTCAATATCTTCATTAATAATCTGTAAAATGGGATGGGATGCATCCGCAGCAAGTTCACAGATGACACCAAGCTGGTGGGAGTAGTAAGTACGCTGGAGGGTAGGGCTAGGATTCAGAGTGACCTAGACAAATTGGAGGATTGGGCCAAAAGAAATTTCATTAGGTTCAATAAGGACAAATGCAAAGCCCTGAACTTAGGACAGAACAATTCCATGCACCAGGACAGGCTGGAGGCTGACTGGCTGGGCAGCAGCTCTGCAAAAAAGGACCTGGGGCTTACAGTGGACAAGAAGCTGAATGAGCCAACAGTGTGCCCTTGTTGCCAAGAAAGCTAGCAGCATACTGGGCTGCCTTAGCAGTGGACAAGAAGTTGAATGAGCCAACAGTGTGCCCTTGTTGCCAAGAAAGCTAGCAGCATACTGGGCTGCCTTAGTAGGAGTGTTGCCAGCAGATCAAGTGAAGTAATTATTCCCCTGTATTCTGCACTAGTGAAGCCACACCTGGAGTACAGTGTCCAGGTTTGGGTTCCCCCACTACAGAAAGGATACGGACAAGTTGGAGAGAGTCCAGCAGAGAGCAATGAAAATGGTTAGGTGGCAGTGGCACATGACTTCTGAGGAGAGCCTGAGGGAATGGGGCTTATTTAGTCTGCAGAAAAGAAGACTGAAGGAGCCTTTAACTACCTGAAGGGTGATTCCAGAGGATGGAGCTAGATTATTCTCAGTGGTGGCAGATGACCGAACAAGGAGTCTCAAGTTGCAGCAAGGGAAGTTTAGGTTGGATATTAGGAAAAACTCTCTCACTAGGAGGGTGGTAAAGTACTGAAATGAGTTACCTAGAGAGGTGGTGGAATCTCTATCCTTGGAGGTTTTTAAAGCCCAACTCAACAAAGACCTGTCTGGAATTATCTAGTTGGGGATGGCCCTACTTTGAGTGGGTAATTGGACTAGATGACCTCCTGAGGTCCCTTCCAACCCTATTTTTTTATGATTCTATGATTTGTATTTGTGTTTTTAATTATTCCTCCCGAATATGCACCTTGCATTCGTCTACATTGAATTTCGTCCTGTTAGCTCTAGCCCAATTTTACAATCTGTCGATATCTTCTAAATTGCACTCACATTTTCCACCATGTTTGTAGTACTTCTCAGTTTTGTGTCATATGC